TCAATATGAGTGTAAACTCACAAGCCTGGGAGCTGATTCAAAGCTCACTGAAGTCAACGTGAACACCTCCATTTACTTTAGGTCTTTGGAGTAGGCCCCAGTAAACAGAACTGCCCCCCACCCCTTTAAAAAAAACACCTGTATTTGTGAGCCTAAGAAAAATATATTTAAAATCAAAGAAGAATGTCTACAAGTGAGGCAGGGAAAGAAACACTTAGACGTTGTAAGTTTGTTCTGGTCTCACAATCACAATCATATTATCCTTGTTATTGACAAGATTCAGAAAATAAAACCTCTGAATCTCTCTACAATTTGTATATTAAAATTCACATGGCCCTGAGAAGTTGAATAAAGTAAAAACAAATTATAGAATACGTTGAATATACTGAAATAAGTAACTGATGAATGTCTGTTGAAGACATAGCAGCAGAAGCGTGATTTATAGATGTTCCCATTAAAATCTATCCAAATCACTACATCTAAAACCAAACAGCATATGTAAGAAAAACTATTAAAGTGCCCAATCTTGCTCTTTTATATAAGGAATGGAGGATCAGACTCTAAAGGAAAAGTAAGGTATTCTTCCTATAAAGTGAATATTTCAAGTTGTAATTGCCACAGTAACAGTGTCAGTAAAGCCAATTAACTCAGCTAACAAAACAAGATTTACTATATTAAAAAATTAACCTGCTGCTGGACTTTACAAAATATGGTACTCAACAAATGTACAGTATACTCTTCTTAGCATAAACCCCAGCTATAAAAACACACACACAACAAAGCCAAGCCAGTAATCACAAAGCTATTTTATATGGTTTATGTTATAAATCTTCTGAAAGACATATGTACTGTCATAGCTTGTAAGTCTGATGGAACAGTTTCTTTTGGTGCTCGCTATATATTGTACACAAATTTCAAAGCAGGAGAAGAAGGTAACATAGACAGTTGTAGATTATTACATGTATATTATAAGATAGAGTTTAAAGATGACTGTTTTTAAACATTTGTTGTCTTTTATATGAGACTAACTTTTACCTACTAAAATTACCTGTAGCCAATTCTTGTTCCTTGTTAAGATTTTCTAAAATATGCGGAATAAGAAAACTCATAGAGAATCACTTAAGAAATTGTTTTCAGATTCTTAAATGTTGTGCATTGGTTATTCCAATAGATTTTGCACTGAGATAAAATAGTAAATAAATTAGTTGTATTGTGGACTTGACTCAAAGAATTAAAAGAACATAAGCTCTTTAATTCCACTGCTAGAATCACTACATGGTAAAGTTAATTTACACTGAACTAAGCACCATTCAAGAGATCAGTCTGGAGAACATCTGTTGACTCTTGCTTACTAGGGAAGCAGACTTGCATGAGTTCTTCATGCTTGCCAAGCTTTGGCAGGCAAGAAGAAATAAGTACTTCCAGTAAGAAGTCAGTACTACATACCACCAGAGTTGTTATTAAAACAAAAGCAAAAGTCCTTAGTAAGAATGCTGAGTGTAAGGACATACTTTTATAATATTTGTGGACAAAAGTAAGCTCTGACTTTTATATCCAAATAACAAATAGTAAACTCATAGTTAAATCAAAATCTAGCTATTCACACTAAAACTATCATAGAAAAAGTATTAATGGAAATCTAAGGGATGATCAATCAGTCACTTTATATATCTGAAGAATTTTCCCCCACATGTAATGAAATTGCTGATTTTCCCATTCTGTAGCATTACTCTCTCCTCCCCCCCCCCCCTCCCAGCTCCAAGACCTAACACTAAGGGGCACCAGAGAACTGAACTGTAACAGTTCAGATCCAGCAGGAACCAGCTGCTGCAGTCGTCTGCATCAAACCAACATAATAACTTATTTGGTGGCGGGGAGAAATGAGGATTTGGAAGAGATACAGAAGAGGAAACAACACATCAGTTTGATACATACCCAAGTATAGAAAATCAGATCTGAGATGAAAGCAAAGGAATACAAATTGCGAGAATTACTCTGTGATTTCCCCATTATATTTTATTACTAAATGTCAGTTGAGTGATCAAATATTTTCCAAACAAATGTGGAGAATGCCGAATAAAATGTTACATAACACCATATATCTATAATTCCTATCAGAATGATTGTGAACTTAGTTCAAACTCGAGGAAGTGTCAGTAGAGAAGTAATTCACACACACACACACACACACACACAGAAGAGCCAGAGCCACTAACATCTTTACTAGTTCACTCTCTTTTTCATGGGGCTCTGAGTAAAATGTTGATCCTGCCAAATCCTGCCACTTTTTGACCCCAGCCCTCCACATTCCACTACCTAAACAGAGAACAAGTTTAGCGACTCCTATTGTATGGGTGAGAGGGAAAAAAACCCAAACCAAAAAAACCAACAAAAAGAACTACCTGACTCCAACATATACCAGAGCAACAGTATCACAAAAACCCAAATCAAGCACCTGCATCCTGGTGGATGCAGCCATTTTGGGGGTCCATCCCATAAATTACACTGCTTAAACAAATTTAGCTGTTCCAACTCCAGGAAAATAGGAATCCAAATGCCAATGCATCCTGGTGGAATAGAACCACAAAATCATGATATCTGGAACCTTTTGGATCCTGCCTGTTTTTTTACACTAACCTGCTCTTTCCCCTGCACAAATAGAGAGCAAGTTTAGCTGCTCTTGTACCAAAATCAAAAAAAGAAATAAAAAAATCCAGCCATCAACATATCCCAATGCAAAAATGCAGAGCTGGCACCTGCATCCTGATGGATCCTGCAAGTTTTTTGCCCCAACCCTTGAAATCATTAGAATCAAAGTACCAAACTGAAGTATGTTAAGGGTTAGCAGATTATGTGTTCTGATTGACTAAGAACTGTGATGTGGTCTGCTTGAATGCTGTATAGTTTTTCTTTCAGTATTAATGTGCAGTAGTTTTAAATGAACTTCACTCAGATTTTAAGGCCCACTGGGGCCATTATGATTATCTAGTCTGATCCCCTTGCTAACATAGACAAAATAATTTCTCCATGAAACCCATAACTTCTGGTTGAGCTATAGAATATCTTTTAGAAAAATATCCAGTCTTGATTTAAGACTTCAAATGATAGAAAATCCACCACCTCTCTAGGTAAGTTGTCCCCCTGGTTAATTATGGTCACTGTTTAAAATGTGCACTTTATTTCTAGCCTGCATTTGTCTAGTTTCTGCTTCCAACCATTGGATCTTATTAATCTCTTGGATACTGAATTAAAGAGCCACCTACTATCATGAATCTGTTCCCTCTGTGGGTACTTGTAGATTGTGATAATAGAATGATAGAAGGATAGACATACGGCTGAAAGAGACCTCAAAAGGTCCCCTTGTCCCTACCCTCCACTCTGAGCCCAGACCAAGTATATCTAGTATATTATAGTATAGCTCCCATTTGCTAAGGAATAAATACATGACTAACTAAATAGTGGGGAGGATTACATTTTATGAAGTACAATGGGTACACTTAAAAAGATTCATCCTGCATGTAGAGATATTACAAGTCTCACCAATAGTCTCTATCTTTAAACTGAAATTCATTTTTAAGAGTATCCACTGTAAAAGGAAAGATAGATAACACTACTGATATATGTATCACATGACCAAAACAGGAGATGAATTCTTGTAAATGAAGACTCCATTTAAATTATACGTTGGCTGTTCAGTGCCAAAACCCTTGCCAGACACACTTTTGTGGCACTGTTGCCCCACGATATGTTAGGATTCTGATTATTCAAGTGGACTATTAGATGCTGCATATGTACTACATCTAAATGGTATTCTGAAGGATATGCAGCCAAAAAAAAAAAAAAAAATAGCCAGATCCGGCAAGATGTAAGTGCCAAATTAGAGTTGTAAAGTTCTTGGACTGGGATGTTTTGGCGTCCAGTGTTTTGTTTTTATATTTTGGATTTGGCGGTTGTTGGTTTTTTTTGTTTTTGTTTTTTTTTTGGAATAATAGAAGCAAACATTGTTCTCTGTTTTGATGGTACAATTTCAGGGTTTGGGGGCAAAACGTAGCAGGATCCAGATGTGGGATCCAAGTTTTTGTGTTACTGTTACACTGGGGCGTACCAGGGTCAGGATTTTGAAGACACACGAGGCTAAACGGGCTCTTCATTTAGGCAGTGGAATCTGAGGTTCCAGATGGCAGTCGGGGTATTGCAGTGCAATTGCTCTGGGATGCTTTGGAGGTCTAGGAGTTATGTCAAGTGAAATATGGACGGGCAGACTTAGTTTTCATGTGGGCAGTGGAATATTGGGTGACGGGGGGGCCATAAAAACCCTGGCGGGATCCAGCTCTCACCCGGACCCTGACATTGTATCTGACCCGAGCCGTTTGCTGTTTGAGATGACACGGCACACACACAAAGGACACCCACAGAGAGACAGATCCCTCCAGCCAGCGCCCTGCGGGGAGGAGGTGGTTCGGGGGCCACAGAGGGAAGGAAGAAGGAGCCACTGATGGGAGCAAAGGCAAGAGCCGGGGATGCTGGCGCTTAGGACGTGGCGAAGCGAGGCGAGTGGCGCGGGCTGAGGAGTTGCGCTCCGGAAGCCCTCCGGTGGGGCCATGTGGTGCCCGGTGCCTTCCCCCACCTCCGTGGGCAGGCGGAGGAAGAGCGGCGGCCACTGCGCCAGGAGAGAGCGAGCTCGGCGCGGGAGGAGATGACGCAAAAGGCCGCGCTCCCCCCCAAAAAGTGCTTCTCCAGGACGAAGATGGCGGCAACTTAGCCCAGGGACCAAAGATGACCGTGGCCACCGGGAGGCAAAACCCAGGCAAGCCCGCCCCGCGCGCCGGGGGAGAACGCGCCCGGCGGCACCGACCGCCGCCGCCGCCGCCGCTCACTGTCACCAGCCGCCGCCGCCGCCTCCTCCCCTTCCGCGTCCTCAGCCGCGCTCCGGGAGCCCTGCAGCAGCGCCGCGCCGGCTAGAGCGCGGGTGGGGGTGGGGGGTGGGGGGAGGAGGGAGCGGGGAAGACGGAGACCGGGGTGCAGGCATCTGTGCCAGGGCTCTGGGCTCAGGAGGAGGAGAAGCAGCCCCGGCAGCGTTAGGAAGGAGGGAGGCAAGGCAGGCAGGGGAGCTGCTCTCCTCCAGCCGCCCGCCGGCAGCGGGGGAAGCGGCATGCAGCTGGCAGGGGGCAGCCGGCTTTTCTCAGGAGAGCGATGGAGATCTGCTATCTGACAATGCCTGGGTGAGAGGAGGGGAGGAAAAGAAGCAGCCAGCCAACCCCACCACCAGCCGCCACCACCACCACCACCACCACCAGCACCACCACCTCCTCCTCCTCCTCCTCCTCCTCTCTCTGCATTGTTGCTCTCATCTGCTCCACCGTACTCTGTATTGGATGGATCTGTGGTGAGACCCAGCCGGATCCACCTGCAAAACCCAACAACATTTCAATAGGGGGAGGACGAAGAAGAAAAAGAAGAAGAAGAAGAAGAAGAAAGAAGAAGAGGAAGAAAGAGAGAGAGAGAGCGGGAGAGAGAGAGAGAGGGAGAGGGAGAGGAAGGAAGGCAAGAAAATCCCCCCCAATCTTTTAAGTCAATGCATATTGTGGTGACACTGGCAACGGAGCCCTCACGGTGGAGTCGGCCAGGGCTGTGCGTTCCCAAAATATGACCAGGGGTGCTTGGATGTGCAGTCGGCAGTACGATGACGGCCTAAAAATCTGGTTTGCACCCCGGGAGAACGAGAAACCCTTCACTGATTCAGAGAGGGCTCAGAAATGGCGACTGTCCCTGGCATCGCTCTTGTTTTTCACAGTCCTGCTCTCTGATCACTTGTGGTTCTGTGCCGAAGCCAAACTCACCAGGACCAGAGACAAGGCGCAGCAGCAGCCCGAGCATCCGGAGCGGGAGCCACTCTCTAGCATGGGGGAGCCCTCGCTTGCGGCACAGGCGGCCCATAGACTCCTCTCCTCCTCATTACCCACCCTGCCTCCCTCCCCCAGCAGCAGCAGCGGCGGCAGCAGCAGCAAAAATAATAACAATAACAACAACAACAACAAGGCTATTTTTCTAGGGAACTCCACCAAACCTTTTTGGCGCCTGGAGACGTGTTACCCGCAGAGCTCCGCGGCTGGCCAGTGTTTCAGCGTGGAGGATGCGGACTCTGTGTGCCGGGGGAGATGGAGCCGGGAGCAGCAGGTGACCGGGAATCATCCGACTCCGGGCTGGAACTTGACGGATTTTTACCTTTCCTTTTGTAATTCCTACACCCTTTGGGAGTTGTTCGCCGGGTTGTCCAATCCGGACACTTTGAACTGCAGTCTGGATGTGGTGCTGGAGGGGGAAGGCTCCTGCCGCCAGTGCGTCCAGGCTTACCAGCGCTACGACCAGCACGCTCAGGAGAAATACGAAGAGTTTGAGGTTATGCTCCAGAAATATTTACAATCGGATGAATACTCGGTGAAATCGTGTCCTGAGGATTGTAAGGTAGGAGCTCTGCTGTGTTTTATGCTCTCTTTCATTGATGGGCCGGCTGGTTGCTTTCCCTTTTATTGTTGGTGGTGTTTTTAATTCGGGTGCTGATGGCTTTAATCAGTAGGGAGGAATTGACTCTTCTAGTGGAAACTGACAAGGAGCCCTTATTTACGCATTGCTTGCAAGGAAAAGAAGAGTGATCCTTGGTCCTCTGGGAGTGCAGAGCTGGATTTCCCCTACTCATGAATATGCGATTGGCTCAAACTCGGCTGCCTGCTTCCACAGGGCTTGGATGCGGCTTAACAGAGAGGCAGGGGTAGGGGCTGCATGCCAATTAGAAGGACCTAGTACGGCAATGGGGTGTGAATGGGCTGTCCCTGGTTGTTGACGGGCTGGAGTGGACGTGGGAAGTTGGTTGTTCCGCGGGATCAGCGGCGTGGTTGCTTGGCGTTTGTGTAGGCGCTCGGTGGCAAAATGTATCTGTTTCGGTGCGCACCGGGGGAACTTTCTGATTGCTGTGTAAGCGATGGGGCTATGCGACGTGACTCTGTCCTAACTTTCAAGACAAGTTACTGGTTGTCTTGGGCTTTTGGGATGAATCTCAGTGAAGTCAATTGATGACATACGTCCGGTGTTAGCTGACTTGCAAGTCCGTCTTGTCTTAGAGCTTCCAGAAGCAGGGTGCTCTCCAGAATCGCTGAAGGACAAATGTTTCGATGATTTGGCACAGCATTATGAATACAGATGTGTTGTTCTCTTTAACATGTGCAATGTGATGGGATTCTGGGGGAATCAAGAATGGGCATTTCCTAACGTACGAATAGAGATTGTGGCAACGCGATCACGTGTAAAAAGGAAGACGTTCCAGATGACTATCTATGTATGCGTATGTGTCTGTTTCTGAAGTCTGCTCTACACAATCTGTGGAGTGGGGAAGAGCTCAAGGACTAGAGTAGCTGTAAACAGACATTGCAGTGACCTTTACTAGGGAAGAAATGATGACAGAATTTCAATAAACCTCATCGTTAGTCTTTGTGTATTCCCCATGCTCATTCAGAACGATCCAAAGACAGATTATTTTTCTTCATAAGCAAACAGTGTCCCACGTTGATAGCTGTCTCTCCACTTTGCACAAGACTAGTTGGCCCAGCTCTCGAGGCGGGAAAGCGCAGGGAAAGGGGCCGTGCTTGGTGCTTAAAATACAGTCTGGTTTTTAAAAAATATTTCCTGAACAACCAAACCATCTGCATGGCTTCTGCTCTGAACTGGTTTGCCTGAATTTTCTTGATTATCTACTGCAATGGTACCTTAACAAATCCAAACCAAATCCTGCTTTAGAAATCTGAATCAGCTGAGTACAGCAGCACATACAAGTTATCTATCTGAACAGAAGGCTTTTCTGGTGAGCATATTGAACAAGAGAACCTGATCCCACACCCCTTAGTGTCTTTTAACTTTAACAGGGCCTTCTGGAATCGTTTGATTATTAGGGTATATGCCTTACAGAATCCCATTGTGTTGAATATGGGCAGTACGAATAAAGATAGCTTATGTATACTGCCTCAAAGGACAAACATATGCATGTCCAAAAGTCCAATAACGTTATCTCATTATGTAAATAAAACCTGATGTTATCAGCAAGAAAAATATGTCTGTAGAGTTTTTCTCATTAAGTTCAATAGGAATAAAAGCAACTCACAAAGCAATTTTGGACCTGCATTTCCTGGATCATTTAACCGTATATGTATATGTAAACACACACCACATGCATTTTATACTTAGACTACAGTGTAAATATCTTTTATCTCGAAATTGGCTGATTTGGAGGCAATAGAAAATGTTTAGGTAAGGGCCACAAGTGTGAGGGCATCATTGCCATTTCAGTAACTCCTTCTCCTGGAAATTGATCTCCTGCCTTGTGCTGCCAAACGAGCAATATTTACATTATTAACATGATGTTTTAAATCATAGGCTGGTTTGATTGGACTTTTTCACCACCACATTAACAGCTGCTTTACCATATATCATATCATGTGAGAAAGGGAAAATTGCATAGAATACTAATTATACAATACTGTATATTATTTCTTTTTTTTCCCACTGGGGGTTGATGTGAATACATGTTTTGAATGAGTGTTCTGAAGAGAAATAAAAATAAAATTAATCCAGTTACATTTTAAAAAAGAAAATATCCATACTTGTACCTTTCCAGTAAGAAAAGGGGCAAAAAGGAAATACAGAGCAAATTACTAATAGTTCTTGGGTTGGGGTTGCATGCACCAGACCTGCCTGCCAGTGCTATTCTACCGTGTATTGAGAATTTGTCCAACCAATCTATGTGACAAAGTGAAGACAAAACAAGAACAAAAATTCAAGTAGTATTGTGCCTTTTGGAAGATATGACAAAGAAGTGATGTGGTCAACTATATTTTTTATGTGTGATAATTAATGATCAGATGCAAAGCCCTACTCCTGTTACACTGGCTCTTTTCTAAAAGAGTTGCTGTCCAACGTGCTGAAAGACAGAGCACAATGCTTACTGCTCACATAGTCTACATACACTGCAGGTATATAACTATGTTACATGTTCTCTCCCTGAATTTATGTTTTTAGGACGTCTTTTAGGACGTTTTCAATCTTATATATCAATGTGTGAAATCCAATCATTTAGCAGTCTTAAGCAGTCTAGCACTTCACATGATATATAGTAAGGTGATTTAGTGTACTGTATACTCAATTGTATGTACATGCAACTATAAAGTCCTACTTTTTTTTTAAATGCCCTATCTTGGGGAAATGACCTGTTTAAAAACAAAATAAATTGAAAATCCCACTTTACTATCTTGTTTTGTTCTTTATAAATACTTGATTTATTAAAAAAAGGGAAACAGCTTTGCTAATGTACTCAAATCTGTGATAATTAAATGTCTAGATGATATTTAAGAATTATGTTAAAGGATCAACATCTAACATCTGATGAAGAAACAGAAATTTGACATCTAATCATATATAGTTGTTATACCCCATCTGACTGGTTAATGTGGTGTGCTGCTTTTTACTCTGTATTAAAAGACAATATGAAAAATAAAGAATTCACTCAATAAGCATATATATAAAGACAGGTCAGAAGTGAAATAGGAAAATCCAGTCAAGAAATTTATTTGCATTTAAGAAAGTTTTAGTATTCTGGGAGAGTAGCTACATTCTGGAGGAGAAGAGAGCATTTCATCCAGTTAACAATTTTTAGTGGATTACAAAATCAGGAAAAGTTACTATGAATACCACTCACTGTAACATTTATATTCTGCTGGACCCTCTACTCTTCCTTACCCCAGCAACCTCAAGAAACAATTGATTCATAGGTTAATAAGTGGAACTTATGACATTACTCGTTCTCTCAGGCAAATTATTATACCTTTCAATAATTATAATGTAAATCACAATTAGCAAATATTGCATGTTTTTTTTACTGTATCATTCTGAAATACTGACTTTATACTTTCAGATTTTTACCTAAAAGTAAGGTTTTTATGAGTTATTGGACTTTCTTCTCTGAATGTTCTAAGGTTCATTGTATGCCTAGTAGTTTCTGGAGTTTGTTTTAGTCATGTTTTGTATTATGGCAATACCTTTGTAGTCAGAAATTTTTTGGGTTAGTATAAATTCACTTTTAGATATTCTGTTAAGCTGACTTTCATATTTAGGCTCCCAGATCTTCAAAATAAAAGCATATTAATTAAGTAGAAAGAAATTGCTTCCTCTAACATCAGTAGATCTTGCTTTTACATGTTACACATATCTGTGCATTTAAATTTGAAGCAGATTAGAGTAGTTGCTTTAAATTCTCAAGGTTCAGACACTTATGCTTGAGTATGCCACATAAACTGCATACACAATGTATACTGGTTGGGGTTGAGCTTCTCTGTGGACTTGTTTCTGTTTTACCTTCACGTGTTATTGTTGTTGTCTCACTGTAATTCTATTCTGGTTTCAAAATATATTGATCAACTGTTGCATAAGTCTGGTGTCTTTGAACATTTTTTTGTTTGCTTTGATAATCACACATACTAGGGATGTACAAAACAAGAAGTACAACAAAGAAAAAACATTTATTTTAATGCATTTAAATATTGGGCCGGGTTCTTAGCTGGTGCAAATTAGTGTAGCTCCACTGACTTTAATAGAGTTATGCTGAGTTATAACAGTTGAGAATCTGGACCATTATTTATTTTAAACTTTGATTTTTACAAAAAAATTGCTTTTGTTTTGAAATATTAAGAAACGGATTGAAGTAATGTTTACATCTGGTGAAATTATGGTAATTGTGATTGATAATATCGATATAGTCTTGTTAACCAGGAATAACTGATACTGAATATAAATGGTATTGGGTTGATGTTAGAAGACACAGTTCCTAATAATGAGTTGTCAGCTTTCCGTCAGGGGAAATACTCAATTTCTTATTCTTAAGTCAGAAGCCTATTGCTTTTCTGGAATAGAGGAAGATTCTGGCTGCTTCTGAGTCTGAACTGGGTCAAAGCACTAAGTAGGCCATACAAATGTAAAGGTTTTTTTGAATGCTGGTTTTGGAGACAGAGAATATTTTCTGTATGGAAAGCATTTGAGCTGGAGAATATTCTTTGCAGACACATTTATTAATGCTTGTAGTTGCTGAACAAAACAGTTAGCATCTCAGAGTCAATTATTTCACTGTAAGAAACTAAAGTGTATGAAATAAGACCTTACTGCCCTTTGTCAATACTAGCTTAAATACTGTGATGTGTTATTCATGTATTTTCATGGATTGCCATAATAACATCTAATTATTCTCTTTTAATGCTAGGATACCAGAGTAGAAAAATTAGAAGATATGCCAATATTTTTACTTTCTCTGTTAAAGAAAGTGGGTCAAATCCTGCTGGAAAATCTGTCATAACATCAATGAGATGACTGAGCAAGGTCATCAGGCTTGGGCCCACAGCTCTAAAATTATTTTGTTTATTAAAATCCTT